CGCAAACGGTCTTTCGCATATTCTTCCAAAAAAAATTCGTGTTTATATGGAAGAAAGTGCAAAACGCCATTAAAAAAATATTAAAAAATTTTATAAAAATTCTGGTTTAAAAGTTCGAAATTTAGATAAAAATTCTGTATAAAATTTTAAAGTGTGATTTATATGTTTTTTGTTAAAGCTTGAAGCATATTTTTAATAAAAAATAACAAAAAATTGTAGCTTGTAGAATGTTGTAAATATTATAAACAAAACACCATTCGTCCACTTTTGACCGCCAGTGTACATATGTTCATATATGTATGCACTCATTCAAGGACATACAATTTGACGAAAGCAGCACTAATTGAATTTTTTTATGCCATATATTGTAAAATTTGCTTTGCTGTTTTCATTCAACTTTAAGTGCGCAATCAAATAATGGAAATGAGTTAAGCAAACAAGAAAATAAAACAGATAAAAAGTGAGCAGCAATGATATAACAAAAGTCCAATTGTAATAAAAGTAAAATGTATGCATTCGTAGATATAGATATGCAAATATATACTCGTATGCACAAGTTTCATTACGAAAATAAAAGAATTTAAATTCTTGGAATATGGAGCATTGTACTAGGGAATAAATAAAATGTCGCAAATTGAAAATTTAATAAAAAAATTACGTCGAAACTTTTACCATTTATTGTTTGCCTCTAAAATTTGAGTTTTGCAGAGATAAAAACTTCGCGCGAATGACTACTTGTTTGGATACTTCCAAAAGAATGCATTTTGCTTTCAAAAATTTGTGTGATAATTGTTAAAAAAAAAAACAAAAAAAAATTAACACATAATTATTTCGTATTTAATATCAATTAGGCAAAGTAAAATTTATTAAAAATGTGCGAAAGTTGGCTATCTTGAAAAAAATGTCTGACATAATGGCCTACAAGTGAGAAATACTGCCATTATATAATCCATTATATAAAATTCCCAAAAAATTTGGTTGAAAAATTAACCTTCATAAAAAAATAAATATTTGCTGGCTAGCTACAAAAAAAATGGTTTTTGGTTGGGTGCTCATGTTTTAAATTGCAAAGTAGTTATTCTAGAATTTCTTGGGCGTGCAGTTTTGTAGCCTATTAAATTATAGTACAATAAATTGCAAGTTTTAAGTTCCTAAATTATTGCATTTTTTGACGTATTTCTTTCCATACAAAGTATGTATATTCGATTATACTTTTATTTTTTTTAGTTTTTTTTTTTATGGAAAAAATGCGTAACACAAATAAAAAATTATCAAAAAAGAACACGATTTTTTAGCAACTTAAAACTTGCACTTTATGTTACTATAATTTATTGGGTACCAAACCTGCATGCTCAAAAAATTCTGATTAAAAAGTTGAAAACTTAAATGCTGCTTTGCAATTAAAAAACTGAGATTCCAACGGACAACTAATTTGAATTCATTGGTTAAAAATCTACGAAAAAAGTCCATAAAACCAAACACCCAAAATTTGTTTACTGGAGCTTGCCAGTAAAGTTTTCATTTTTTTTTTCGAAAGCTCATTTTTCCATGGAATTTTTTGGGGGTTGAATATATTTAAGAATATGTAGTAGCACTATTTTTGGCTCGTACGGCGTGTATGAAAATACTGGCAGTTAGTTTAGTATATATTTTGTTCTGAGTTTATTCAATCAGTTATAAAAAGTTCAGAAGAGGATCAATCGCTGATGAGCTGCATTTTTTTTAGTCTCACTTCTTGGTGTTTACATTATTATTCGTGCGTCTTTTTCACTTACAAATATAATGAAAGACCACACATAAGCAGCAAAATATTTTTTCCAAACTTGGCTACGCTAAAATGCTCCACCAATAACTGTTACCGTGGTAAGGTAGTATACCGCGCTAGCCATTCCTTTAGTTTCATCATAACGAGTATATTTATTATGCCTCCTGCCTTCATAAAATTCTCCTTATCTTCCTCTGTGTTTTGCGGCCCACCTACAAGCCAATTACACTCCGCAATCCATCAATTTGTCTGCTTGTTTATTTGTTTCTTTGCCTATCGGCGCTTGCATCCATTACTCCCACAATTTAATCTTTCCTATGCTACCACACTTCCGCTCAGTACGAGTATCTTACAGTGCTAATGATGTTGGTGAAGAATCAGTGATTTTAGTTATCAACAGTGTTGGCAAAAGTTTGTGGAATTATACATACATACATATGCAAGTATAAAATTTTCACTTATTTATTTCCCTGCAGGCGAGGCGGTTATGCATTGCATTATTTCTTCTGATCTTGATAAAAACTTGCCGCATGCCTAATGGGCGAAACTGCTAGGGTACTCTGCTTGAAAGAGTTTTACGCCAGAAATACGTAATTTTGTTTTTGTATTTTAATAAACAAACAAAAAATTAAATTAGTAGCATTTGTTTTCTAACTAATTTTCGCTGGCAAAAGTTATGCAACGCCAGCCACGCTCCCTTCTGGAGCTGCTGCTTTTCTTTAATGGCCGTTTTTTTTTTGTTGCTCCGCTTTTTTCACGTAATACACAGCTGTAATCCTTTTCCAAATAAGATTGAAACCAAACTTTGCTATGCACTTATGGCATTCTTTCTTTAACTATATTATTAAAATTTTTTTCTTCTTGCGCTCTCACGCAATTTTTCCCAAGCTTTTTTCCGTTGTGTTATTACAACTAACCATTATTTTTTGCAGTTCTTTAAACTTTTTGCAAGAGAGAGAAATTTTGCTTTTTATTTTTGTTCATTCGCCGAAAATAGTGTAATTTCTTGTGAAATCCCCATCATGTCTTCTCTTCGCTCTACACATTTTCTATTCATTTTTCAACTAGACTTTTGACCGCTTCTTACATGCATAAGCATGTTTGTATGTGCATAGGTGCATAGTTGTAAACAACACACACTTGCAACCAACTTATTTAAAGTTTTAGACGTTTATAATGATAAGTGATTATGCACTACCGTTGATAAGTACTATTTGCGTATCCTTCTATTCTTGTTTCTAATACTCAGATCTGTTTAAATTGTTGATACAAGCGTATGAATTTTATAACTTATGTAAGCGATTTTTTAATGCAAATTTTTTTTGTATTCTAATCTATCTCACACTCCCATGGAAGCTTAGGTGATTACGCAGATTTTGATACCTTAACTGATTTTCTCCGACAAATAGTTTATTAACTGCAAACAGTTAAAAAAAGATACTTCTCCGTGAGTTCAAAATTTCGGGATTTTTTTTTTTCGAGATTTTCGAATATCATGACGAAATAAAAAAATAGGTATCTTCTTTTTTTCGATAAATAATGTAAAAAAAATTTCTCCCCAAAAAAAAATATTGCGGAGTAAATATTGAGTGGAATGACCCATAGGTAAAGTTTGCAACTGTGAGTGCTGCTTATTCAAACGAACGTTGCTTCAAAAAGGTCCAAAACAAACAAAAAAGGCCCAATCCCCCCAAACGGAGAAAAAAGATCCACATGCAAAAAAAAAAACATATTGACTTTGAAGTGAAGTGAAGATAATTGACTGATGCCTAGGACATCGCCATGTTAAAGCCAACAGTTTGTTCAACGGAAGAAAGTCAGATCTTCAACTAGTTGTGGTGGGTAAAAAACGGGTTGAACATCTAGTTTCTTTCCCTACTGGGTATGAATACTCACATATAGTACATACTCAGATGTGCGCATTCAAATACGTGCGTGCTAAATTTTATGATAATCAAATAGAAAGTATTAATTTTTACTATGCATTATTTTCCTCAGTGTAGCGATCGCCTTTTTAAATTTTTCGGCGACACAAAAATTCGGCAATAAATATTTGTTATCAAATAGTTCTACTGGAATAATCGAAATACTTTCTTACCAATAGTTAAATGATTTTTGAAGAGCTTTAATTTTCTGGCATTAGGGTGGTACATTAGTGTGATACGAACTGAGATGTGGTGGGTAATACTAGAACGATTTAATTAATAAAAATGTTTGCCTCAAGATAAAAATTTCGATACATCATGCTTAAGATCCGACTGTAAAAATAAGTGAAGATATCAAGAAAAATGTAAAAAGTTGGCCCCTAGGTTTTGCCGATTTTTTTTCGAAATTGATTAGAAGATTTTGAAATACTTATAATGAAAATTTAAAATTGTTCACGCATTGAACCATGTCAATATTTCCAAAATTTTTTCTTGCGCTGCTTTTTATTCTGGTAAAATTGGAAATTTTTATTTTAAAAATTATCTACCACTTCTAGTTTCAATGTAGTCGTTAGTAGGTTAGTACTTTATTTTTTAAATATTTTACAACTCTACGGGCCGTTTTCTCAAGTAGGTTTTAAAATTTATCTTTCCGGTTAACATAAATTTTATTCTGAAAAAAATTAGTTGATGGCACTTAATATCATTTCGCAACCAGGTAAGAAAAAAATGCAACTATCAATACATTACTATACCACTAAATGCTGTTGTTAACATTTATTTTATTTTTTTTTTTAATACGTAAAGTTTGGTTTTCTTTAGTTCTAATTGCGCTTTTTGCTGATGCATTCATAGTTAATGCTTAATTATTAGTCATTGTAATAATTCGTTTTGTTTTTGTTTGCTTTGTTCTCTAAAATATTAGTATTTTTAATTTACACCAGTAGTTTTTGCTGCGCCGTAGAATAACCGCTTTGAATGTTGAAATCGTACTCTTTAAAAAAAAAATCACACCTAACCAGCACTCATGCAACATTTTCACATTAAAACCAAGTGATTACTAAAACATGGAACACCTTGAACCATGTCCAGCCAATGAATGCTGTACTTTAACCTGCAAATAAATTTGTTGGCTTCGCATGGCTACGAAAAAAGGACATACAATTGTACTAACAGTCGTTTTGTTTTAAAAGGCAAACTAACAACAGGACCAATACTTTTATGAACAACGAATACCTAAAGCGATAACCCTAATCAATTGTTTTCTTCCTTTTTTCTCTCTCTCTCTCTCTCTCTCTGCTGCAAAACAGGCGGCAACACTAATCAGGGCAACACCATACACGAATTGGGTACGAACAACATTAATAGCCAGCCGACAGACACTAAAGTGATCGAGCACACCACAGGCAACGAAGTACTCATCATGAATACGAGCGACGACGATCGAACGGCGAGCTTCTTTGCCCAGCCGGGCATCTTGGCAGGTGAGTGGGCGCTTAAATTTTGCAGCAGGCACTTAAATTGTGGAATTTTAAATAATCTTAATGTGCTATTTCGCTTTTCTCTTCCAGCTGTCATCGGTGGCGCTGTCGTCGGTCTGCTGTGTGCCATTCTCGTCGTCATGTTCATCGTTTACCGCATGCGGAAAAAGGACGAAGGCTCCTATGCACTCGATGAACCCAAACGCTCGCCGGCGGTCAATTCCTATGCGAAAAACGCGAATAACCGTGAATTTTATGCCTGAGATAATTCCCAACGTTACTAGAGAGAGTGAAGGCGGCAGGCGATGGCAGAGAAGGAGATAAAGTGATGGCAGCAAACTCTTTGCGAAATAGAAAGCGCCGAAGCAGAAAGAAGGTGAAGAAAGAGAATATAAATAATGAAAATAAGCGAATAAGTAAATAGTGAATAGTGAAAAATATAAAAAAAAAAAAAAAACAAATAAAACAGAGAGCAGCAGCAAGAAGCAGTATGAAACTAAGAGATAACGAAAGTTTGAGAGTTTTTTAAGGATTTTGAAGTTTCTCGTTTCGTATGTATTTAGATCATGTGTACTGCAGCAGGGCTTAAAGTTTAAATTGAGTTACACACACACACACACACCAACACACCAACACAAAAAGCAAAAATTTGTAGTTATGAAGAACTCAATTAAGTGGAGATTTTTTTGTCGGCTTACAAAAAAGTTGAAGGTTCGTTGAAAGGACAGATGAAATGAAAAATTCAACTATTTTCTAATTTGTAACAATTAAGTTATTTACAGTTAAGTAACGCAAACAATAACAACAACAAAAATGAAAAGCAAAAGCAAATGAAAACTAATGAAAATAAGAAAAAGAATTATTTGTATGTAAACAGTCACAGGCGATGAAAGTGCGTGGAAAAATATCAAATTTAGTTTAAATATTTTCTTTTTTTTTAATATTGCAAAAATTATGAAAATATACAAATTGAAAATAAATTAATATGAGTATACATAGACTAAGCAGACATAATATGAAGAAAAAAATTAAAAACATAAATAAAATTGTACTATGAAAGAAAGTTAGACACATTTACAAAAAAAAACAACAACAAATGTGTGAAAAATATGCGTAAATGGTAAATGAACATAAACAAATACTTTATAAGGGCGGGACACTTTTCATAAATGTAGCGAAATTTAAATACAAAGCGAAAAATAATAATTCAAAAACAAATACACACACACTACCTAAAACAAATACAACAACAGCAGCTCACACAGAAACACACATGCCGTGCTAGACATACACACACACACACACACACCTATTTAATAATTTAAGTAAATATATATGTGAATGTGTGTGTTAAAGTCAACACTCGAAATCATAAGTAAATAATAAAAATAATAAAAGAGTATAAATGTAAAATTTTAGTACTGAAAAAAATTAAAAAAATATATAAGTAAAATTATAAGTATTTATAGGAAAATAAAATAATAATATTGAAAAATTAATAATAAAATTTTAAAAAGTTAATATAAACATATAAAAAAAAGAATTATAAAATAAAATTATTTATATGTATATTGAAAATATAATACATTTAAAAAGTTATATTACAACATTAAGAAAACGGATTAACAAAATTAATTTTTTGTATGATTTTGAAAACTAATTATAATAAAACTTAAAATGAAAAAATAAAATAAATAATATAAAAACTAAAATGACGTATATTAAAATAAAAGCAAATAACAAAATATAATTAAATAATACAGAATGAAATAAAAAATTATAATAAAAAAATAAGTAAAACAAAATAAAATTTTAATAAATAAAACTTAAAATAAAAAAAATTAAAAATATAATATGAAATAAATTAAAGTATAAATAAACTGCAATAAAATGAAAAGGGATACAAAAATATAAAGTAAAATAAATTAAATTATGAATGAAACAAATTAAAAAGCTAGACTAAAATAATTTCCATAAAGCAAAATAATATTATATTAAATATTATAAAATGGCATAAAATAAAATTAAGTAAAGTAAAATAAAAAGAAACAAAGTAAAATTAAAAATTAAATTGAATAAAAAAATAAAAAAAATTTGTATTTGACCACCTTGAAAATGAATTAATTTAAATAAAAAAACAACAAATAACTTAACCAACTAATTTTTTTTTTTTTGTAACGACAAACAGCAAATTGGATTTCTTCCTCTTATGTAAAACAAAAAACTATCTACTGTTAACAGTATCAAAGTAAAAAGTCGCACATCGTAACTATAAAACAAAAATTAAAAAATCCAGACTTTTTTTTATTAAACTTAAAAAACTGAATATAAAAAAAAAAAATTTAAATATGTTATAAACGACAAATTTTTAATAAAATGAAAAATCCTTCCCAACTTCCACTTGGCATTAAATGACAAATATTGGAATGACGAAGATGGGCATATAAAAATAAGTGTTCCATTGCTTAAAAAATATATTTTTTTTTAAAGGCACACATTTTTTGTCATTCCCATGCTTAATGTAAATCAGGCATAAGGCACTGTGCGCCATAAAAAGTGTTCATAAGTTAGGAACAAAAATTTAAAAAAAATATTTCATGCTTTGAGGCAACTTTTCAACCTAAAAGTTCACTATCCATTTTTTCTAATTTCCAATACAAAAAAAAAATAAAAAAAATAGATTTTTTTCAATATCGTAATTTACAAGCTGAAATGTACATATCGATGGTCCTCTGCAATAACACAATTCAAATTTCAAAAAATAAAAACTTCTGTTAAGTGGCTCATGTCTCTATACTTACTAAAAATAAGTAATAAGAATTTCTAAAGTTAGTAGGAAGGATGAGGACATGAATAAGACAAGAATTTTAGACATGAGTAGTAAGGGTTTTTATTTTTTAATTTTGAATTGTGTCGTTATTGCTGAAGACCAGCTATATGTAACATTTTTTTTCTTCTCGTCAATATTTACACCAAAATTGTGTTATTTCACAAATCCTAGCTTATGAATACAATTTCAAGTCAATCACACTGGCGCACAGTGTGTCACAATAAATAAAAATTTTAATAAAAATTAAATAATTCCAACAAACTTTGTGTAACCAGCAAAAATATACAAAAAACTTAAATAATACTTATGAAAAGTATATAATTTTTTTGTGAGAAAATTATAATACTTTTCTAGCAGAAACTAAAAATTAATTAAGAACAAAACTAAAATACAAAAAATTAAGGTGAAGTAAAAAATCAAACAAATTGACTAAAATAAGTACATAACTTAAACTTAATTAAATAAAACAAAGTTTTGTTATAACAAAAGTATATAAAGTATAAAAAAAAAATTAAAATAAGTTACAAAACCCCCATAAAAAAAATAGAATAACAAAAATGTATTATTAATAACACAGATGTCGTCTACTATTATATACTAGAATTGATACTAAAAATAAATATGTAGTTTTAATGTGCATATAACGATATGTAAGTGAAATTATTATTATAAACGCAAATAATAATGAACGAACATTTTTTTCTATAACTATTTACTCTTACAATTATTCTTGCTATGTATAAACAAATAATTATGATTATCAAAAGTTTTCGATGTATAAGTAAGTTTTTTTCTATTCACTTTTATACAATATTATACTTTTTTACAGATAAATCTATATATACTTTAATTAATTTTTTATTTGTAACACATTTATAATTTGCTGAATACTAAGTAAAAAATATCTATTAGTTTAAATAAGTACAGTGTTGATGAAAGCAAAAAGGAAAGCAGAAACCAAGAAGTGCAGCTAAGAAAAACGCAAAAGTTTTCTAATGACTTTTTTTATTTTTTGAGGGCAAATAGAGCAACTAAAACAACTTAAACGGTATTCTTTCGGAAAAAATTGTTTAATTTGAATGAATAAATCGAAAAAAAGTAAAAAAAAATAGATTACTGCCTAAACTAACACACTGTTGCCATGAGAAAAAAAACTCGCCATTTAAAGTGAAAAAAATCAATATTTCTTACAAAAAGTTATTAGATAAATATTTTTTCTTCTTTCACACCTTTTTGTTATTTTTTATTATGGCTTGCGAACTCTTTAATTTGCTAACGCGACTAATAGCATTTTCATATTCGCAAGCATACAATTTAATTGTCCTACACGCTTGTTGTGTTACTTATAACTGAACATATTTTAGCTTTTTTGTTACATTTTCAAGAAAAAATATTGTAAAAAATATTAAGTGTCAATTGTAAATCAAACTACCGTATTTTACAAATAAAATCAAAATAGTTTACATTTTCTCTTCACATATATGCCTTTCTTTAGTTAATTAACTTGTAACTGTACTCAAATTAATAAACGAAAAATTTTATTTAATTAATAGTTTTATTTATTTTTTATTAATTCGTAAAACCATAGTGCCCGAATATTAATGTTAGTACATAATACGATATATATTTTTCGTGTTTTTCTTTCAAGTACCTACATGCATTTAATTAAACAGCGTAGAGACATACATTGTTTAACTTTGCAGCTTATTCAAAAAAAATGTTAGTTAATTAAGTTTTTTTTTGCCATCGAATCGATTTAAAAGTTTGGATTTAGTATTTGATTTTGCATTAAACCGCCTGAGTTGAATTACCACCCGAGCACCGGCAACGCCTAAACTTAGGCTTTCGAAGTTAACTTTAATATTTTCCGTATACCCAAAGCATTAAACACAAAGCAGTAAGAATAATGAAAAAGTGATTTCAGTAAAGCGAATTTCAAAATTGCGTCACTCCACACTCGGTGTGGGAGAAGTGTATACTTATAGGCTGAAGAAAAAAGTATTTATCAGAAATTGCTACGCTAAATTTCAATTGCCAAAAATCTCTTAATGAACAACAAATATTCGTAAAAATATGCAACACTAAAGCCCAACAGGTGCAATATTAAATCTGAGGATGTTGCATATTTTTGGGCATAATTGCTATACATTTGGAGGCTTTTCAATGAGCCGGAGTATATTCAGGAAAATAAAAGCATGGACATATACAGTGAGCCCTAAAAGTATGCAATTTATTTTCGAATACATTCAATCTGGTAGAAAATGGTGAACCTACTTGCGTTTGGAAAAGCAAAGCCCTGTTATTTGGCTTTAATCAAATGCCATTGTCATCCCAACTGGTATTTCACCACCATTTCACGGAGTGGAACATTTTACGTCCAAAAAACGCTTTTGGATTATATAAGATTGTTCTACCAAAATCTTCGATGACTGCATTTTGGCGCATTTCGAATAAAATCTTCCCCAGTACTGAGGATCACTCTACGATCCTTGCAAACAGTTTTAGGATTTTGTATGAAAATACATTCCTTTACCCTTTGCTTAGATGGCAAGTATATAGCAATCCACATACAAAAACAATAATTGGATGGACTTTGATGCATTGACTGTTTGCTGGCTTTTAGCCATAAGTTTTAAAAGCTAAATAAAGCTTAGTGGCCGAAAAGCTTTAACCTCATACTAATCAAATTAACGAGTGTCTGAGTAATTAAAAAATGCTTAGCCGAGAATATTTTGAGTGTTGCCAATACAGCTAAACTAAAACCTTATAACTATTTAAAATAGAAAAAATCAGTCACTAGAATGACAAAAGCAATTTTATAGCTCAAAAGTGGTAATGACCTCTTTTGCAAAATCAATGATTAATTTCACTAAAATATACTTTGAATTTAAAAAAACGTATGTATATTTTTTCCACTTAAAAAAAATTTTTTTTTTTGTGTTTGTAATTCTTGTTTTGTTTTGTTTTTTTTTTTTTTCTTAAGACCTACATAATACATAAACATATAGTTGCCTTTATTTTGCGATAAATTTCTATATGCATATACACCTCTAGTTTTTATTTAGTTTAACCAGCAAATAATCAAAATATTCATCATAAAATTAGCCTAATTAAAATTAAGTGTCTCCGCTCATTGCTTACTTAATAAAACAAAAAAAATATCAATTTCTGTATGCACCGTGCAATTTAAAAATGAATTAAATTATTTAAAAAAAAAAATTATTAAAACAAAAAGTTACTGCCGCTAAATTGCATACTTTTGCGCAACTATGAACGCCGAAACTTTTTTAAAGAACTAATAAAAAAAACGCATTTTCTAAAGAAAAAGAAATCATTTACGCTAGAAGAAAAAAAGCGAAACTACATACTACAGTAGCGTTAATATTTTTTAAGTGCAACAATTACTAAATATTTAACAAAAAAAAACAACACATAAATACATACATATCGGTATGCCAGATTAGGTGTTTACAAGCACATACATACATACACTTAAATGCAAGCAATAATTTGTGTACTAAGTAGTACAAGTAAAAACAACATTCAGCAATATTTTATGCTTTTCTACACAGCAAAAAATGCATTGGCTTGCTTTAGGTTTTTTTTTTTTTGTTTTCATTCAAAGGAAAGAAAAACATCATTAAAAATTAAATAAACTAAAAATGCCATAAGACACAAGCAACTCAAGAAAACTTGTCAACAAACGAAACCACACTTCTGGAAACACACACAACATTCAAACACATGAGAACACTGCATACACTGTAAAAAATTCATATAAGAATTGTGTTTGAGGTGTCTATTGGGGAATAACAAACAAATAGAATATTATTTTATAGTAATAATAAAAATAACAACAAGAATGTAATAACTAAAAAGAGAACTTACATAAAATTAAAATTTAAAATAAAGCATAACAAATAACAATTAGAAAAGTGTCCTCTACTATGCATACACAGCCGTTAATTTGCATATGTTTATATACATATTCACTTCATACATATGTATGTACACACAAACATGCATAAATCCATACATGCTTGTCAAATATGTATGCATCACTGTAAATTACTTATGTAACACAAATCGTCTGAAAAATGAAATCAATTTCCACCACAAGCGTGTGATTTTGCGCTAAAACTGTTTTTTAAACTTTTTTTTTCAACCCTCGAAATTTTTTAACAAGCTGCTCTTCTTGCAAATAAAAAAACAAAAACAAATTTAAGCTTACTTATTTACAACTCGTAATAATAAATGTTTTTTTTTTTCAAAACTTTGTCTTTCCAATTTATAGTTTAATATTATGTAATTAATTTTCTTTGACTTTTCGATTTTTTCTTTCGGTAGTACGCCTACACACATATTTAGTACATACACTCGTAACTATGAATAATTTTTTTTTTGTGTTTTTTTTTTCTTTGTATAAGCGCTTTAGTTTCATAGTTTATAATGCTAAATGTACTGAAAAATTGGTTTTTCATTTGCTACAATGTAATAAGAATAATAATAACAACAGTGAAAATTATTATAAACGTGACAAAGTAAGACGCAAAGAAGAATAATTTAATTAATAAAATGGAAAACTGTAACAAAAAATTTGTTGGTTTCATTAATCTTTTTTATAGATTAGGTCAGGTGAAAAAAAAAACAGTAGCTTCGTTTTTTTTTTGTAAACGAGCGGCAAAAGAACGCTCTACTCTACTCTTTTGAATGCTAAAAAGCCGACAATGAATTTTATGGCAGTAGCTTTTTTTCTACTAAAACGGTGTTCATATGAGGCAATTTTAGAGGCGATTAGTTGAGTTGAAAGTTAGCTACACCCCAACTTCATTGAAAGTTCGTTCATGCCAGGCGATTGTTGCTTTCAGCCTATAAAATCGCCTCATGTAAACACCACATAAGCGATAGAGTTGGTTGGCTAGTTTTATAGTAGATTATTAAATTAGCAAGTTTTGTCATACAAAGAGATGCGGCTGCACTGTGAAATATCCTGCAGCAATGGTTTGCCGAGTGTCTTCACCCTCATCTTTTCGAGGGCTGGGCACTTGCTCAGAAAGTGTTCGGCTGTCAATTTTGAATCCGGTTCCTCGTACCTGCGTCAGAACCAATTGAAAGGTAAGCCAATCGTTTCGGCCTGTACCTTAACGGGCCAGTGCCATTTTTGAACTGCCGGCAGGTTAGTAGGTATCTGCTTTGCTCATTCCTAAAAATGTGCTGGTTTCTAATGGGACGTAGGACATCCAGAATTGCTTTTGATCTCCCAGATCGAGACACCCATGTGCATCGCGTGGGACGCAGTCAGCGTGGAGCTGCACCCCCCTCTACTTCATTCGATTGATGGCTATCGACCAGATGAGATAAAGTAGCTCGGAATTGGTCGGGGACTAGTCTTTTATGTAGCGCTGCAACGTAAAAATTTCGAGCAAAGATGAGAACGGAGAATAGCACTGAAAATAGCACAAAGCAGAAACCAGTTGGTCTTCAAGCCAACTATGCTCAAATTATTTAGTTTAGAAGCCATGTTTGTATAAAAACGGATTCATTCCAATGAAGCTCTATTCTCGAAATTATTCTTTCTTTTATTTTTTTGTTAACCACTAATAAAATTTTGTTATTTTATTTAAAAATAAAATCTAATATTTATTTACATCATTTACAAAAGTGTACAAAAATGGGCTCCAGAGGTTTTCATAATAGACTTTCGCCCAACATCAGCATCAAACCCCACTCATCCGTCCTTACAAATTCGACTTCATAAATGGTTTCAAGTGCTGTTCATATGACGCCGGCACAGCTTTCTGATTCAGGGGACTCTTCTTGGCCGCTTTAAAAATGCGCTCATAGACATTGCCATCATAGCAACCCAAAACGGAGCTCAGTACCTTGTCATGGAAATCGAAACCATCACAAATGGTGACTGCATTGGGGCGCAGCCTAGCAAGCACTGCTTCAAGCCGCGTTTGCAGTGAAGTTAAATGGTCGTCGGTTAGGGGAATGAACTTGCAGGAATGGAGAAAATTAAAAATATTCTATCAAAATTGTAATGGAAACTTACCCTCAAAACGTCGGCCATATGTCGTTGAACAGTATGTACCAGATATAGTTCAAGCAGATCTTCGAGCACCTTATTCAGTGATGTCGAACGTTTAGCTGCCTTCGGGCCAGTAACCTCTTCGAAGAAGTTGTTGGTAACAAAGGCACGACCGTGGAGCTAACGAAAGAAATTTGAGGTGAATACATTTTTAAACTTAAAAAAAGTGATTTGAAGGTAAGTTAGCGAGTTAGAGACGGAAAGTGTATTGCCTATATTACGCCTATAATTATGCAACAGTTATGAACTCAAACTGTACGCTTACTTTTTTCTTTGGCTGCTTAAACGTCTTATGAATTGCTTTATTAAAGGCACTCCCAAACTTCTCTACCCTTCACTTGCGTAACTACCCGCGCTAATCACTTTCTTTACCTCAGCGGCCTGCGTCAACTCTATACCAGTTGCATTTACTGCCTCTGGCTGCGGCATACCACGCTTCAATCGTTCATTATAGCTTTTAAAGGCGATGCGTGTTTTACTGAAAATCCCGAAAATATTGTTTAAAATATTTCTTTATACACGAGACATAAACTCACTTGGTAGCCGTGTATTGCAGAGCCTGCGCCAAACACTTCCAATCGTCACTCCATTGTGGAAACTTACTCCAATTAGCGCACTCGCTCAAATACGTCATTGTAGGCATTAGCTGCTTGCCAGCCAATACTTCCGCCCAGGTTTTCAATAAAATTCTACCAACCTGCAAGTACAATACAGAATTCTCGCCCTCATAGGTACAAGCGGCCGTAGCCGATGTGAAAAGGTTACCCAAATTGGCTGAAGCTAAATAACCATGGCCGCCACATGACAGACGCAAACGTTCAATGCCAAATGCTGAATCATATGTGCAGGATGCTTTTAGCGTACAGGCCAGCGCATGGAGCTCCGGCAAGCGCGAGTAGTCGCCACGATTGACATCCTTCGACGTTTGCTCGAATAATTTGTACAGCTTGCCACCAGCGATACGATACGCAATAGCCGTAGCAATCTCCGGCACAACTTTCATTTGTTGGGTGAGATGGTCCAACACCTGTGGTTCCGGGCCGCTGAAAAACCACTGGTTATTAAAGAAACATCAAGCAACGGATGTGTCAACCTACTACTCACTCTGGATTTATGGGACTCTGACGCCTTACAGCCGAATAACGCGTCGTTATGGTCGCTGCTGCTGCATGCAATATGCTATTACCCAGCACAACCATACAACGTACGTAAACCATCGGAAAGTAGGCTAGCTGCGACACAGGACTCTTCACAAAGGTGCCATCCGGCAACACCTTAGCATTCTTCATCAGCATATTCATGCGTGGAATGCGTACATTCTTTAAGCCCAAGTAACCATTATTTACGCCCTGCATGCCGATCTTTTTACCAATATCACCAATGTCGATGCCCGGCAGCGGCGCATGCGTTTGCTCATCACGCACCTGCAATACAAACAATTGCACGCCCAACGGCTCATTGTCGATATACAGCTGTGCGACCACAATACAATAGTTGACCGATTGACCCACTGTAGGCGTAAGATATTTGCATAGAGATTCTAGTTACAGATTCAATGTTATCAGTAGGTCTCACTCACATCCACCAGGCCACCACTTGTACGATGTCAAAGTGGGCGTATTCAGCACAAATTCATCAGTTTTGCGATCATAGTCGGCGCGTGTTTCCAGTCCTCGTAAGTAGGTTCCATGTCCAAGTTCCGTTTGCGCATAAGTGCCAAGGATTTCACAGTTGTCCGCTCGCCGCCCGAATTTTTCATATTGTTCTGGTGTGCCTTGACCTCTGAATGCTCGTGTGAACATTAGGCCATGTACAGCCATTGGAGTGCCGGCAGGTATGAGAGCCATGCCAACAGGACCACTCATGAAGGTACTAAATATATAACAAATAAGAAGTGATGAGAGATTTGCTTAAAGTGTAGTATTTAAATTGAGATGTATGTAAGAACATTTATCTTCTAGGATTATTCAACTGAATATTCTACAAAATGTATTACAATTGCCTACGCTAGGTAAGGCTCTTATGAGCGGCACAAAGCCTTGTAAGAAAAGTCGGAGAACGCAGGTTGTTGCCTACGCTGATGACTAAGCGTTTCTAATTTCCGGAAAGTTCTTGCAAACAATTAGTGAGCTGATTTTATAGATACTAGGCTATCTTTCCTACTGGGCCAAACCAAATAGGCTAGGAGCTTACCCTTCTAAAACCGAACTTTTCTTGCTTACAAAGAAAACACAAATTCCTGCATTCCTCTTACCAAAGCTGACTCCAAGCTTAAGTGGAGGAGCAAAGTAGAAGAAAGAGCATATTAGGGCCTTGTAGCATACTATACCTGCAAGAGGGCTTTGGTGAAAAATCAGGGTCATACGACCGGTTTTACCTATGGAGCGACATGAATGTGTAAACTGATTACTTCACGTCATCTTAGGAATTTAGTCTCAAGATGTCGATCCATTTTCCCACTAGATAAGATAAGGCAGGTGGCACACTCTCGGTAATTGATTGTTTTCTATCTACACCGATCGTTCAAGCATCGAATAAGAATTTAGATTCGAAGATAGTAAAGTCAAACGTATTTCGGAGATGTCGTGCATCGCTGGCTTAACATAGACATTTCAAAGGCAATGAAATAGCGGATTAGGTGGCTAGAAACGGCTCGGCGGTGCAACTTAGCGAAGAAGATAACTGCCTACTACCAACGCCGTAACCATTGACCTAGGGATAAATGATGACGACTGTGAGATTCCCAGATCGTTATGGCTGGAGCTCAATAAGAGTCGTACTGACGAATGATTAATGTTAAGCAAGCCTGCAGTAAGGGCTCTTATCGGCGCCACAGAATTTGCCGGAATGAGGAAAAAGAGGAATCGATTCACCACTTTCTATGTCAGTGCCCGGATAAAGAGTATCAAGCTTTTTCAATAGTTTGGGGGATATAACGGAAGTTGAAACATCAGAGCTCCACAGCTTCGTCCGGGATAGTAAGTGGCTTAATAGACACTAAACTGTCAATATGGAATAACTTCGTTTGGAAGGGTTCGCCTCCTTCTGGCACTCAGTGGGCAAGTCTGGCTCCGAGAGAAAGCTGGATTCATTTGTACGCGCCTTCTTAACCTAACCTAACCTTCCTACCTTAAGCATTTACTCATGTAAAAATCCGCCAATGTAAAGGGATCAATAAATATTATTGTAGAGTTTGACTAGTTTTTTGATTTGCGATGGACCAAGGTACAGGTTGACCAATTCGACCATCTCAAAGCAACGTGACTAGCGACAATCTCAAAGGAAGACATATATACCGTGGTTTTTTCACAAGTTTGTAAAGGCTTTAGTAGAAGACTGGTCCTTGTTATTCTGAGATCGCCCTGGTAAGGTAAGTCTAAAGGCTAGTTCTTCACGTAAAACCGCGCACAATTCCGTAGTAGGCTTATCACCAGTGAACAGCGATCGTTGAGATTACTGCGGGTAGACAGAAGTCCGCCTTAATGACCTTTTGTAAGGCCAAGTTCTTTTCCAAAGAGGGAGACATTATGGGTAAGGTTATGAATTAAGATGTCAAAACGGAAATTCGCAACTCACTAAGCGCCAATGAGCGCAGACGAAACCCCGTAACAGTACCGTGTTGGACCTTAAGACAGCGACCATGGGATGAGCTCTATGTATTATCTCGCGAATTTCCAATTTTTTCTATCTTTTTCTAATGATATAATTTTAGTAATGTAAGCTATTTTTTGACTTACGGATATATTTCATTACCGCCTGGATGCAAGCGCTCTTGCAACGCTCTCAATTTCTTCGCTGCATCTACAGAATGTTTAACAGCGCGATTGTAGACATCTTCATAGGATAAGTAATCCAAATCTAAAGGATCATCAAGGTCTTGGTAGAGCTCTTCCTCTGTAAGTACGTATAGATGATTAAAGGTAAATGAAAGTAAAATTTTGAAATATGGAATAAAAGTTCTTAGTGTTAAAAATAGTTACCAAAATATTTGTGAATAAAAGTGCCAATACCAGCGCTGTACTTTGTTTGGGCTATGAATTTATCTTAGTCGGTTCAAGAAGCTTAAGCTTTTAATTTTTGGAAACTCAATTCGCGAAAAGTACATAGATAACTAAGAGATAATTAAATTTGATATTATGCCAGATTTTTACTGGATGCTGAATAAAAAATTTTAACTCAAAATTAGGCATTAAACAACAGTCTGTTTTCATAAGGCATTTTGTAAATGGCCATTTATGTTTTTATGCCGAATTTCCGCTAGGCATTGAGATGACGAAAATTGTGTGCCATTTAAAAAATGCCATGTGAAAACGAATTTAATTACAATTTTTATTAGCGTAACTTTTTTTCATTAAAATTTTTGCCACTTAATGCCAAGTGAAAACCCGGTATTATTCTACTCAAGGGTTTTTTTTTATTTCTTTTCTCTCTCGCTTAAGTACTTATTCACTCTTATTGCAAGTTGAATTGCGTAAAGTGTAATTTTAATTAAAATTTTTTTGTTTTTGTTTATTATTTATTTTCATACTAAATGTTTACAAACTATTCTGTTCTAATTTCAAAATCTACCCCCAACAATTCTATTTTTAACGGCCGTCCACTTTTCTGCAATGCAAAACTGAAAGCAATGACCAGCTTAACTTTTGATTCAATCCGCTCAAGGTACAAGAAGAGAATACATTATATTCCCACGTTTTTGCACATGCGCAATGTGCACACTTACATACATATGTACATGCATAAGTCAAATGTCAAGCAAGCCTGTTTTTAATTATCTGGCGAATTAAAATTACACAGCCGGGTGTGTTGATCGGCATTCGAATAGCAATTTTCTGAATGAATTTTTTTTTTTCGAAATTAAAATTTTATTCACATACATACATACATACATACATACCAGCAAGAAATTAAATTGATCGATGTTTTTGGCAATTAAAAAAAAATATAATTGCCAAGGAAATTTCGAATAAATTTATTTTTATTTTTGCCGAACGTATGGGTGGTCCTATTACATTTTTCGTCATATCTTCGACATTTACTGTCGCATCTTAAAGTCCCGAGGAGGTAATATTTTTTTGTTTCAAAGTCCATTGATCACAAGTACCCGTTCTAGGTCTTACCCACGAGATCTCAGATCTTATCATCTTAACGTACCACCCTAATGTCAGCAAAATTGCAGCTCACCAAAAATCATTAAACTTTTGCTATGAAGGTATTTCGATTATTCCAGTAGAACTATTTAAAACAAGAAAAGAAGTCGAAGTTCGGTCGAAGCCGAACCTTATATGTACATATGTATATCTGGCACACGCCGTTTTAATGTCGTTTTGCATCTTTCTGTAAACCATCTTTACATTATAAGCAGGGATATTTTATCCCGACAACATGCCCAGTTTGAAAATTTTTAGGGCCGATTGGTAAATCAGTCACCGAGATACACATATACAGTTATAATACCCTTTGCACAAGTGACTCGTAAAGTTTTAAAGGGCGATCACTAGGTTTGACCGCAAATGTATTATCCTATAAAATTTTCTAAGTACTAAGCCGCCAGGTGTTAATGATTTATGTGTTAATGATAAGACACAAAGTTTCGATTGTGTCAGTGGAATTAGTTTAATCAAAATGTGGTTACAATGTTGCAACGATTACTTGCAATAATTTAGTGAAGGGCAATAAAGCACTTTTCTTACTAATGACGTTTTCTTTTCGACAAAAAATGTTGCCTCCTCATTGCGCTCTTCTTTGTATTGGTGCGCCGAGGACAATGGAAGGTAACACTTTTCGGTAGAAAAGAAAACGCCATAAGTAGTTGAAGGTTGCCTTTTCGCTCTTAAGCCTCATATGTCAGCAACGAGCTTAAATTATACACTTCTATGAATTTTCATTTTTAGAGCGATTGCGCATTATCTTTTCGAAGTGGTATTTGTCTTCATAAAGGCCATGATTACTCTTCAATCATACCATTTCGGATATCGCAAGACAAGAAAAATACTTTGTTTTTGAAGTTATGCACCTCCATAAATATTTCTAAGTGGATTAATTGCTCCTCCTCTTTTCGAAGTCGGATTCCTCTTCAAAAGAATCATGAGTGCTCTTTATTCACACCATTTCTGGTTTTAGTAGATGATGAGAAAGGACTTTGTCTTCGAATAAAAATTCTGTTTCATATCGACTGCTGAGTGGAAGATCGACCTAACTCGGCAGCCAGTTCGAAAAGGTCCTATCTCAAAAAACTTTTTAAGAACGCCCTATTTCAGAATTCGTTTCAAAAACGCCCTATCTCAGCTGCCGATTCAGAAACGCCCTATCTCAGTACATTTTCAATACATTTTGAAGTGACATAGGGCGTCCTTCAACCAAATTTTGAGATAGGGTGTTTTTAAATTAAATTCAGAAATAGGGCGCTCTTGAAAAGTTTTTTGAACTATGGCGTTTTGGGACTGGCTGCAGAGATAGGTACAGCAGTCGATATAATAGTTCACTCATCATTGTTTACATATCGCACACCGTCTTCAAAAGAGTCACAACTCAAAATAATACGTTCGTCAGAAAATGCGAAAAATTATTTCGTAGTACATGCTAATCATATGAGCAAGGGCGACTTTACCTTAGGTGTTTTTAACAAATTATAACAAAAATTTGCTCCAGCTTTTTCTGAAAGGTAAATAAAAGCTCTGTGTACATTTTTAGCGCATAATTTCAAAAATGCCAAACTTTGAGTTGTGACTCTTTTGAAGACGGTGTGCGATATGTATCCAAGACAGTACACGGATTTCGAAAAAAATTAATAGTGATAGATTTTACATCAAAAAACTGGTAGAAGTAGCTAGATTTTGTAAAAAAAAAAACAATATTAAATAGTTTTCAATTATATAGAGCGGCTGGATTTTCCCCTCGGTGTTTCTTAATAGCCAAAGCCATGTATTTGTTGTAATTCTTACTGGCATTGTGCGTGAAATTTGTTAGTGTAATTTTTGTTTGTTGGATAAATTTTATTTTTACATATATAAAATGAATAAAAGTATTCCACGTCAATAAAATATTCAACGAAAAACGTATACATACATATAACGAATGAATCTCGATTCGAACGAATGAAATAAAATAACAGCTGTTTTTTCTCAAATAAAATTTCATATACAATTTGATACCCTGATTCGGGCCCATAACCATGCCTACTTCCCATATAACGGTTATTTAGAGAAATTCGAAATCTTCTATAAATCAGTACCTAACTACTTCAGCTAATTTATTCAAAATTGATGTTTGCAATAATTCTTTATCAAGATATGTGATTATAACATATGGGAAGTTGGAAAATGGGCGCGACACCGCCCACTTATGACCACGTTTATACTATGTGTAGCTCGGTGATCGTTCGATCAATTCGTACCAAACTCGGCATAATTATTGTACATACTTGACACATAAAAGCAAGGCGTTGAAAATGTTTTGAAATCGGACTAAACTACGCCCACTTTTCATATAAAGGTAAATTTCAGATATGCTGAAATTCTGGTATTTCGAAATTTAAGGACGCTAATTTATTCAAAATTGATACTCGCAACAATATTGGGCGTGGCACCGCCAATTTATGACTACACAAGTTTATCTCATCAAGTCTAACTGAACACCTACTTACTATCGAAGGTGTTTGAAATAGGTGTAAAACCACCCCTGCTTACCATGTAACGGTAATTTTCGGAAAGGTGAAAAAACTATATTTAATACGTGCGCCGGGTATTTAATGTTCGGATTCGCCCGAACTTAGACTTATTTACTTGTTATATATAAAACTATATTTTAAGACTTTCGCCAAAATATTTCGGAAAAATATTAAAATTTAGTAAGCTGGGCCGATTTGAAAATACCTCCGAAATTCTGATTATTTTTATTCCGTTGACAAAACTTTATAATTCCGGTGGAAAAATCGCAACTGTTTTTTCGTGTGGCACTCTAATATGCATGCATATGTATGTATGCCTACTGGGTCCCTAATTTTACATATAATATGCAATAATGTATTACAGATTATTTTAAAGCTCTTCGACAGCTTTTTTTAATTCACCATTACTCACCGACTAGTCGCTTCATTTGCACTAGATTTGCATCGCCATAAATCCAGGCGGCGAATTCATCCACATCGAATGTGGCATTCTTTCGTTCTTTCACCAGATCGGGATTAATGTATTTTGCTATGGACATTTTTTCTTTTGTTTTTTTAATAGCTCGTTTGATTGGAAAATTTCTTGTTCTGTTTACTCAAAGCGCTAAGCACACCGCGATTTCACGACTCTCAACCGCCTATGTCGCACAACAGCACTTGACTAGAGCTTGTTTTCATAGCGCAGATCATTGGTGGAGCTACTAGCCATAGACTTGGAAGATACCCCAACAAAGCATTGACCCAGTGAATGGTATACTCTTCGGTTGCTTGGAGCTCTGCGCTACATATATGTATGTATGTATGTACATTAGGGTGGCCCTTAAAAAATGAAATTTTAAGTCTTAACCCCTCAGTGGCTAATACAACGGTCAAAGATATCACATATAAATTTTAGTCCCGATTGGAGTCGGTTAAGGCCTGTTGCACAGGGGTCAAATTTAAGATTCCCCTATGGAGACTCAAAAAATTTAAATTAATTTTTTTTTCATCTTACCCTACTCAAATCGGGACCAAAATTTATATGTGAAATCTTCGACGTTAGTAGTATCGATTTTGGGTATTAGATGAAAAAAATATTAATTTTAATTTTTTGAGTCTCAATAGAGGAATCTGACCTTTGACCCCGGTGCGACACGCCTAAACCGTCTCCGATCGGGACCAAAATTTTTGTGTGATATCTTTGACTATATTAGCATCGATGTGGGGGTTGACGTTTAGGAAATCTGATGTAATAATGTACTTAATACATTTAAGAACCACCCCAATGTACATATGTACAGACATATATTTCCTCCAAGAGCGCATTAACGTGAGCAAATTAAGAGCGATATTGTGATTGTGCTTGATAGAAGTCGTCAAAGCATGCTCTCTAATCGTTTATTTTGAGAGCTTTATTTTTCAGATTTCACTAAGCATTACGAAAAACCTGTGTTTGTAAACAAAAAGAGGAATATTTTAATGCAACTTGTTTTATGCGCATCTACACGTAAATACAGACGACATACATATATACGTTTGTAGTCATTGAAAGCTTTTCATTAATATTTTAAACTACTAGCAGACCCGGCGAACTTCGTCCCGCCCAAAATAAATTTTTTTTATCGAAACAGGTTGGATCAACATTTTCACCAACATTTAGCATTAACGATTTCCAGTGGAACATTTATCTGCTAAGACTGTGGTTTGGTGGACGTCAGAAGCCATATCGTCGATGTTTTTGCAAAACCGCCTATCTTACGGCACTCAAATTTTACAGGACAGCGAAAAAACGGTTTATTCTTTGAAGCCATTGCTTTGATAGGCGGTATTTTCGCTAGCTATTATTTTACAAATCTGTTGTTTTAAGAACGATTTAACGATTTTTATGCATAAATCTCAGAGTTACGAAATTTAATTTTTGCCACAACGGCGATTTAGGCGGTTTTGCAACTGGTCGATGGGCGGGTTTGCAAAAACATCGACGATATGTATTTCCATTGCCGTCTTAAATAACCTAACGAAACTGTTATGTTCGTGAAGAAGTTCTTGAAATTCTCAAATGATGTCGCGCTTCATAGCACGGTTAATCGCACACCCGAAAAAAAATTGAAGAACTTTTTCCTCTTTACTCCCTGGCGACAACAATGATCCGGCCGATGGTGAATCTGTCCTTTAAACTATATAGTTTGGTGGTAATTGAGTATCGTTGTTCTACAGAAATCCATAACATATTGTACATAGTCTTATTTCAGGCGCAATGGTGGTTTATTTAACGGTGGTAATTTAAAATTGGCCCCTGGGCAATTCAATCCTGGTGTCTCCGAGTGAAGCTTCAACGCAAAGCAATATTGGCAAATCACATCCATTGGGGCAATTGGAAGACACGGAAGCTCGACATACTCAGTGGTCCAATACGTCGAGGGAATCAGACATGCACGACATTTTTTCTCACTTGGACAATTTTTAGCAGCGTTTGAAAATGCTCCGCTGTTTGCCAGTTTTTATGTTTGCTCTTGCTATCGGTCTTGATTTAAAGATACCATTAGCAGAGCAAGTAGCACAAAACGCGAAGAGTATTTGTATTGCTCGGCTCCCGACTGGGTTTCGTTGTACTACTACGCAGATGAATAGAGCGAAAAAAAAACGAACAATGTGCTGTTTGGAGTCGTAGCAAATGAAAAGCTGTGATAGCAGTTTGCAGCATAGCAAAGAGAAATTTTTGCTACTGCTATTGCTATCGCTACGAGAGTCGTTGAATTGCTCTCGCAGCTGCTACAAATGCTCAACTGGTTTTTCGGTTGCTTTTGTACAGTCGTTATTGATCTACTAAAAATAAAACATGCCGCCGCAGAAGCATAATTTTATTTTTGGAAATTACTTTAATATTTCCGACGACGGGGGGAGGGGGGGGGATGCCATGGTTTCTTCGGCAAATTTGCTTAGAACTACACATAGAATGCTCCTGTGCTATACGCGCATAGTCGAAAAACCTCCCATACAAATTGACCCGCCGTAATGTGCATAGATATGCAATATACAAGTACATAGGATTTTTATGGATCATTCCCGTAGCCATAGCAATAGCAGAAGCAAAAATTTCACATTTTTTTAATTTGCTACGACTCTAAATAGCACATTGTTCGTTTTTGTGCTCTATTCATCTGCGTAGTAGTACAACGAAGCCCAGACGGGAGCCGAGCAATACAAATGCTTTTCGCGTTTTGTACTACCTGCTCTGCTACTGCTCTCTTCAAATGAAGAGCGGTAGCAAAAGCGAAGCAATAGGATTGTTGCTATTGCTACTATGGAGTAGTATATGCAAACATTGTTCCGAGCGAGTCAAATCGGATCATAAATAAGATCTTTAGTAACAACTCGATTCCAGCGCCACCTGGCGGGTCAAATTGTGAACCTACACTATCCAGATACCCACTCAAATGCACACGAAAAATTTCGTTAAAATCGGTAGTAGGGGCTCACTCACATCCACATGTAGAGAATAATTATATATGGATATGTACATACGAAGATAGGTAAATATCTCAGTACTTCTGGAAGGTACCACGCTCCCTTTTCCATTGGCCAAACTTTTCCTTCATTAATATGCTATTGATTTCTTATATCTCCATGCCGAATTCCAATACTCTACCATGAACACTTCCAGAGAAATATAGTATGAAAAATTCCTCAGTTTGGGATTGACTTCGTATTCATCCATACCAAGTTCCAGAGATATGCAGTATGAAAAATTAGGTTTGTATGGGAGGTGCCAAGCTCCCTTTACATATCGAATTATTTTAGCCCATAACCATCCTAAACTAAATAACCATACCATCTAAACTAAAAGTAACTGGTACTATAATCGGCACAAATTTGGGGTTGTCTGGTAACACCATCGAGTTGTCACAATTATTGCAGCTGTCAAAGTGGATTGTAAGTGGAATGTAAATATTGCGCGATGTTCGAGATTTGTAAACATTCGAGAAAATTGGCGAATTTTTATGCATAGTCTTAATAAAAAGCGATTGATGTTGTAAAATCTAATAAATTCAACGTTTTATGATTTTTACACTACTTCGAAGCTATGGTGAATGTAATGAAAGGAGTATTCGTTGAATGTGATCCGGCTATGAAACAATTTCTATTGCATCTCGACGAGACACTCGCACTGGGACGCAAATTCATCATACAAGATTTGGATGAGAATCATTTGTTTATCTCTACCGATATCGTCGAAATACTACAAGCACGTGTGGACGATTTGATGGATCGCATCAGTTTCCCACTGCACGAGAAGGAACCTTAAATTTTCACATCTTTCATATTAAAACTACATACATACAAACAAATACAATCATTCAACAATGACGGGCCGCGAATCCAACCGCATCAAAGATGCCGAAAAGAAGCGCGTACTCGATGAAGCTGCACGCCAACGACGCGCACGCAAGGCACTTGAAGCGCTGGAGCAAGACAATTTTCATGAAGATCCACATGCCGATTTGGTGATGT